GTTGGAAACAATCAGGCCGGGGAAAATAATCAAGGACGCAGGAGACAGAAAGGGGCGGGGAGCGTGGAGGCCTGAAATGAGAGGAAGAAATAATTAAGGGTATAGACATAAAGCACAAGACAAAGGGACATGACAACTCTAACATAAAGAATAAACTTTCACTATAAGTTTATTGGACATGACACACTTGTGCCTGCTTTTGTGAGCAGAGTCTCTTGATGCGTGGGGGGATAGTGGACAGCGCAACGCGGAGGTCCTGCTCCACTGACAGCCGGGTCCGGGTCTTGTTTTTGACATATGCGAGTGAGAAAAACGCCAGCTCGCACAAGTAGGAGGTTGGAAACTGNACAGGAAGTTAACCTAAATTACATTTAAGACATACAACTGCAACGAAAGTACCCAATTTGTGTTCTGTGAAACTGAAAAGGATATTACATTGTTTTTGTTACTTTCGTTGCAGTTGTATGTCTTAAATGTAATTTAGGTTAACTTCCTGTTTTATTTAGATGCTTTTATTTTGAAGGCAAGTTTACGCTGTTGACAGGAAGTTGTTGTTGCTATGGAAACAACATGACGGAGATAATTAATATCTTCAAATCTACATATAAAGACGGAGAAAGTAAAGAATAAAGTGTATGTTTAAATGTTGGCACCCCCCGAAGAGGCACAATCTCTTACGTTGAGTCTGGATACATTCTAAATCATCAGTAAAGTCTACGACCATATTTTCGTGTGTGGTTCAGGTGCCATCGTGTGGCCTTCTGTAGGCATCGTACTTGCTTCGGCTGTTGACCAAGTTCGGGGCCATCTTCGTGCGAAATTCAAAATTCCATATTCGTGTGTCCATCTGATGTCAGTTTCGGGACAGTGTGACGCGGGCTTTAGGGAAAGCCTTCATCCCATTCACATATTTAGACTCACATCTAGAAGCTGCTAAGTACAACCATACTCTGATCTGGTGACCACTGAGCAGCAGCACAGGGCCATGATAGGGCTTCGCAGTGGTGGTAATGAAGGAGGGACAAGAGTTATTTCTTCCCTTTCCCCACCCAAATCTATCCTGCCGGTCAAGGTGATGAAACAAGACATAAAAGAGAGCCTATCAAAGTAACATCCTATTTGTTTAAGAATACACACTACAGTACATTGCCAGTTAATTTGGAAAAACAAGCTAGAACTGATGCAGTTTCAACCATAAAACTGTTTCAACAAAAGCTCACTTTCACAGCCTTAATGAAGTTAACATGTATTGCAATCAGTTGGGTTGGACTGAAAACGTTTTTATCTGCTTTATAAACTGCCAACTGAGTTTGTCTTCAAAAGGGCATACACAAGGTAATATAAGAGGTGCTCAAATTGAGTAGAAAGTGTCATGTTTCCTGTTTTTAAAAAGGGTTTGTTATTTGAAAGGAACAGTTAATGGGAAACTATTCTGGGACATGAATGGGAAATAAATGCTATTGTCCGAATGACACTCTTTATTGTGTGAAATAGCGTGTAAATAAAATAAATTAAGTATGTCAAGTATTAGTAATTGTAAATATGTTGTTGTGGGTACAGATTCATGATTTGAAACGCTAACATATTACAGTTTTTCCTGTAATACCTGCCAGGCTGCATAATTCCTTATCTTCTCCTGAAAATGCAATCACCAAGAACTGTGCTGTCATTCAAAATCCTTTGTAATATTCTGTGCGGCATTGACCAAACAAGCCTCAGCTGCCTTGGGTGAGGTCTAGCCAAGGGTCTTTGTAAAGAAAAATGTCCATCTGCACACCAAGGTTGCCATCTATCAACTTGTCTGCATCAACACACTGCCCTATGTTGTAAAAATCTGAGGTTATTTCAAATACTGCAGCCTGTACAGAAAGTGCATAAATATTGAGTCCTCGATTACACAGCTCCGGTTGCTCTCACTTCTCATCGTGGTGCTCTCAGGTCCTTCTGCCTTCTCAGATCCTGCATAGCTAAAAACACAGCCTAGTATTGGTCAGCATGACGGCAAGAGCAGGAGTTCAAAGCCCTGCTTGAAGTGAACCTGGTGCATGCTAGCAGACCGTAACAACTGGCAGCAAAGCCAAAAAAGAAAAAGAGCGAAAGTCGGTGACAGCTAAAATGACACAGATGAAAATGTACTCGAAGCTGCTCTCTATACAAGTTTGGCTCCCCGGATTGCTCTGTGCAGCCTTCAAAGAGCATTCTGTTAGAGAAAACTTGTCCTGAGATTCACTGGACAGCCAAAACCAGGCAAAGTTTGCATGTGGGAGAGAGAGTGAGAAGGACAGGAATAGACTGCTTCTAATCTATAATGTGAATCTTACACCGTGTGCCCACCGAGAGTTTCCTAATAGTTAACAGAACAGTTAAATTAATAGTCCAAATGATAGTGGACAACTTGTTTTAATTACAATCAACAAGAACAACTATTCTCATTTAGATGTTCTAATTTGTATTTGGTTAACATTGCTTGCTCACAAGAGAACGACATGTGTGTGCAATATCCTATCGTGAACTGCACCTATTCCATTAACAATGAACCAACAAGTAGTGGGAGCAGATTAATAATGAATGTGAGAAAACCGAATGTTATAATTGAAAATCCTTACCTCTTCGGCATAGGCATCACAAAGTTTGTGTCCCGAGAGTAGTTTCGTTTTCAAGCTCTTGTTCTGAAAAGGAGAATAGAAAGAAATGAGTGATGCCATTGGTAAGTCTCCACTGTGTTCGTCACTTCATGTTCCCTTAACTTTTTTGCTGCTTTATAAAAAGTACTATTTAGTCAGTAGGCTTCAATTTCTCCAACAAGGCACTTGGCTGTTGAGGAGCCCTGACAGCAAGTGCTTGGTTGCCTCTCAGTTTGAAGAGCAGTCAGGAGTGCCCTGTCTCAAAGAGCACTCAGGCCCGAGGATAGGTCAGCATTGTAGCTCAGGCTTGAACTTTATACGTGATCAGTAAAGCAATCAAATCATTTGACTGGCAGCCTGTGAAGACACGCCATAGCACGGGTCAAAGGGTGTTGTTTTTTGGTGCCAGTTAACATCCTTGTTGCAGTTTTCAAACAATCTGGAGGACTGACTGCTACAATGTGTTACAGAAATGTTCATGAAGTACATTCAACCAAAAGATGTCTGCTGTTGAAACCAAAAAGGTGCTACTAACAATGCCAGATTCCTTAAAAATCTCAATTCAAAGTACAAACAATGTCTTGATAAAAAAAAAAGTCCCTTTAAAATATGTATTTCTGAATAATTTATCTTGGGTCAAATAAGCATGGTAAAACAAGTATCTTTAGTACAGTCCCGGGTTTCTTAATGCTATTGTCACAGTCAAAGGCTTGGGGTAAAAAGGACTAACACCAAGATCTTTCTCACTTACAGTAATTTAGTTTCAGTACAATGCACTGCTACATACTTAAAAGGAGCCAAGAGGAATCATGTAAAGACACTAGAGAATGGGACCTGAGGGTGATAACAGCTTTTGAAAGGAGGGAATTTCCCCTTTTAATTGACAATGATCTGTTAGTAAGAATGGTCTTAAGCTGACTGAATGCTTAACCCAAAGTACCCATCCAGACCTCAAGATGACCCAATAAAACAGCAAAATCCACCATGAGGAAAATAACACTGAGTCTGAAAGAACTACAATCGTACAGTCTCCAGCGTGTGCAGTTAAGGGAAAGTCATTAGGGGCAGACAGTCTCCGCTGTGATTTTAAATTAGATGACCGTCGCAGAGATTTTATTACAGTGGGAAAAAGAAAACTGCTTGAGAGAAAACAGTATAATGCAGTGGACAGAACATACTGCACTACACAGCATATGTATTTAACAATCCATCTATGAAATACGAAGGCATACACAGGCTTTTATTGGTTTGTACTGCAGCAAGTCTGAAGCTTGAATTCTTTTTAAACAGCTCCTTAGAATATGTCATATCAAGGTTAATATTGTTTCTGCTAAACATAATGGATGATCCAAGACTCGGTCGTTGTATCTAAGCTATCACATGCTTTGTGATAATAAGAAGTTTAAAGACAATAGTCTGTTCATTTTTGTGAGTGAGAATGTGAGTGAGAGTTTAATGAAACAGTTGGGGAAATATATAAAAAAAGGCATCACAGATCCTTGAAATGTGTACAAAAATCATCCTGATGGCTGAGTAAACCTAAAACTCATCCAACAGCATTGTTGTATATTGACAGGAAATAATTGCCACTCTTGCATAATTAAAATTGTACCACTTGTTTTATAAAAAGAAAACATACAATTAGATACAACTTAATCATAGCAACCGGTGGTGATTTATTAACACTTTTTCATTGACTCAGCATAACATTTAAAATTCTAAATGAGTTTATCAATGAGCCAATTAACTGTAGTTGAGGGTCTATTATTCAAACTCGTCCATTCAAACTCAAGTGAGAGCAATGAATATTCATCCACTATACTCAATTCAATGAAACTGAACACAGTGACGAACAGAAACAAAGCACAACAGAATAAGTTGGCCCTCGCTCTTCTCATATAGTACATGCATGCATTATGTTATGCTACATACAACAAACAAGTTAATGCCACAGCAATTACAGTATGTGAACGGATTAGAGTGTATGGGCTTAGACTGGGATATATCAGACTTTGAAACAGCATGATGGATGCCAGGAGGGTGGTCTTGAGCCTCGCCAAGACTGTGTCGTGTTGCTGGGCTTTACCATGGCGGTAATCTCCCAACTGCATGACGAATGGACCAGAAAACCTCTTCACAATGTTTGCTATGTGGGAGGCAGCCCTTGGAGGATCTACATGAAGAGGGTTTTTGCGTTCCTCGCTAACGCACAGTTTGAAACAGTCAACATCGAGGGTGAAACCGTTTGTTCCAAGAACACACAATACAATTCGTTTAAATGACAAATCTCATGAAAAAAAAACAAGTGAAATCAATTATTTTTCATTTCATTTAATCGTTTATTTGAACCGGGACAGTGCACATTGATGAACACTTTAAAACAAAAATAATGCTTACAAGTGTAAATGAGCCGGGTTTTAGCTTTGAGCTAATCCATCAGTAGTCCCCTCACATACAACATATAAGAACATGACATTTATATACATAGCAAAAATAAATACATGATATGCAGGAAGAGCATGAGCAGCATACAAGTATTTACCACATGGCAGTACAATGTAGCAACTATGGTATATAAAGTGCAAGTTAAGACACAAGTGCTACTAGGGATGTAATGATACCAAAAACTCACGGTACGATAATATCGGGATAAAAAGTCCACGGTATGATATTTATCGCGATATTGAAAAATAAAGAAAATAAATGTGAATCTTTTTTTTTTTTACTTGAATTCTTTTTTCTTTATTAAATAATACATCTGATCTGTATAGCATTTTAGTAGGATAGTAGTATTTTAAAGTGTCAACAATATAATAATCAGACCCTGCAATAGAATAAATCAAGGTTATCTTTTAGGAATATGAGCATGTCCACATTTCCAGGTAGAAGCGGGGATGTTTGGGCGTTTACAATATCCCCTGCTGTGGAAAAAACTCTCTTGCTTGGTACTGATGTTGCTGGGACAGAGAGATATCCTTTGGCCATGGGTGACAGCAGTGGGTCAAACTGTGCATTGTCTCTTCACCACTTCAAAAACAATACAGTTTTTGCCAAGAAGGTGAGGCTTATTGACAGGGCGAGATATACATATACTGTTGGTACTTGTCAATGTCTCTAGGTATGTACATGTAGCCCTGTAAATACCATGTCCTTTTGTGTTCTGTTGTTTTATGTTCATGTTGTAACCATGTCGGACAGGTCTACCTTGAAAAAGAGATCGATGATCTCAATGGGACCATCTGGTTAAATAAAACTAAAAAATAAATAAAATAAATCGCGGTAGATTTTGTCAGTCTCACGAAGGTATTGAGACATTTATTTACCGCGATATTGCGATATTCGATATATCGTTACATCCCTAAGTGCTACATAAAGTGCAAGAGGAGATACCCTTGTATAAAAGTGCATTTAGCGGTGATTACACGTCTGTTTGTTGCTCAACCATTCTTTGAGTGGATCTTTGAAGCTATTGAGAGTGGGACAATCCGGTATCTCAGTTGGGAGGCTATTCCACAATGAGCTGCCTTTAACGGAGAGGACATTTTGTCCAAAAGTTGTCCGTCTATGGTATGATGTAATATATACCATTATAGTTGTATAGGGATGTTTGTATTACTCACATTAGGAAAATGTAGTAATTATTACACGATGAGCACAATAAAATATTTACATTTGGAGGAAAGGATCTACAGTTCCAACAAGATATTTAAAAAACAAAATCTCAACAAGCTGTTTCAATGTTAAAACTGAAGGAAAAGCAGATCCAAAGAGGAAGATTTGGAAACACACATCTCAGACACTGTAGGGAAGTCTGTCTGTCCACCCTTCAGAATCAGAGCCAGTCAGTGCTTTTTTGGCTTCAGTGCAAGTGAATCAAGTTTGCATTTCTAGGAGATTTTTTGAAATCACAACATTTCCAAAAGCAATTATTGCTCATTGATGCTGCATTGATCTTATTTAGGTGGAGATAACACATTCATCTATTATGTTGTCGTGCTCTGATGATGGATCTGCTGCTCAATATAATTAGGGGACGAGATGGCTGTGAACCACAGGGACATTTTGGATACAGGACGAGTAGGGGTGTGTGCATCCACCAGCTGGCCCTTGATATCTACTTATAAATGATGTGGCCACATCCACAATTCTCCCTCTGTGTCATGGAACATGCTGACTGCTATGACAATTGCTCACAACACAGCTGCATCTGTATAGTTTGAATTAGCCATTTGTTTGCATGTTTTTACCACGCTTGCAGCTTTGATCCATACTGAAATATCTCAAAAACTATATGATGAAATATTGTAAAGGTGTAAGACTCTAGGGATCGAACTGACTTGGATAATGTCCTGACTTTTCATCCAACCCCACCACAAGGTTTACTGTTGTGTCAACCTGTTTGCAGGACTATATTGGGAACACAGCAAAAAGCTGCATTCAGACCACAAAGTGGCATTTTCTCATATACGGTAATTCCTGGCCTGTTTCTTTCCTTTGTGATTCAATTCTTACTCCCACACACCTATACAGTGTGCTGGTACTCCAACATGCACACTGAGCAGAGGTAATGAACTGAAATGGCAGTTGTTGTTGTGATTCAGGGGCAAATCTGTCCGTGTATCAATTCCTCACAGTTGCACCTCTTCTCGCCCCTACAGAAAGACCACCATTCGAGGACATGTAGAGTTGGCAGCTGTCATAGAAAAGTGACGCAGTTTAGCCCTGAGACATTCTCAGAGTGAAAATGAGATCCTCTGGAGCTTATCTGCCACAGCGCATTATTCAAATGTTGATACACTGAGCCACATATGTTGTACTGTGTTATTCCCACAGCGCAGTCATTCTGCTGACCTGAAAATACATTTCATATTTATATGTTGCTCATATTTTCTATTTAGAAAAATGCAATAGTGCACAAATGAGTTGGGAAAAGTATTTCTGTCAGCCTGCCACAAGGTCGTCTTCTCTGATCCTTGGCTTGTGCGGATTCCAACTTTGAATACAAATCACACGAGGGAATGATGGTTCGCTGGTAGCTTTTGGTT